AAGCAGATTACTTTATAGACCGCTAGTATGTGCTGCTTTGTGCATGAATTCCAACTGGGATATCTGACCATACCCAGGCCATTTTTTAAATATCAGTATCTGATAATTATTAAAAATAATCTCTGTTGGGTGGTGCCTATGGCTTAAGGAGTAGGGCACTGGCCCCATATACTGGAGGTGGTGGGTTCAAACCTGGCCCCAGGCCAAAAACTGCAATAACAAAAACTAATCTCTGTGTTCATCTCTACATTCCTTAATATATTTTCATTTGAAGTTAGTAGTTGACTAAAGATAATTTACAGGATTAGCCTATGTGAACTTTGCTAATCACTAAATACAATACTAAACATGTCAGGGGGCTTCTTCTAATGTTAGCTGGACTGTGTATGTACCTTATAAACCTTCCATCTTGTGGATGGAGCTACAGCCTCGCATCCTGTTGTATTTGAGTATCAAGGACCTTAAAAATAATAAGACCTGTTCCCATTGGTATCCAAGAGGAAATGGAGGAGAAGTGAGATAGTACGCGGACATGTCGCCAGACATGTCGCCCTCGGGGCAGTCCAGGCACAGTGTGGCCCAGGCCTGAGCGCTGTCCCAGTGAATGGAACCTGTGGCATGCATTTGACACTTTGATGTAGTTGCGTACTCCGCTCCAGTGCTGGACAAGCGGACGAGGTAGCTAGGTCAGATGTCTTCGGGTCCGTCCTCTCACCCCTGTCGTGCCCTTGCAGGCCAACTTGCCCCTGCTGCAGCGTGAGCTCCTCCACTGCGCAAGACTGGCCAAACAGAACCCTGCCCAGTACCTCGCCCAGCATGAACAGCTGCTTCTGGATGCCAGCACCACCTCACCTGTTGACTCCTCAGAGCTGCTTCTCGATGTGAACGAAAACGGGAAGAGGCGAACTCCAGACAGGTGAGGGGAGGAGGGCCCTGGAAGCCGCAAGGCCTTTCCTCAGCCTGGAGGAAACGCGGTGTGAGGACACGTCTGTGTCACATCTTAACCGCTGGCCTGTGTCCCCAGCAGGGTGGCCGTAAGCCAGCATGGCTGTCTTGGGATTCTGGCCCTGGCCTGGGATTTTACAGAGTTTTCGAATCTCTGGCCTGTGTCAGTTGAGCGTTGTTGCTTGTGATAGTAAAGCTAAAAGGTGGAGACGAATGATTTTCAAGGGTTGCAAGTACCCCTGATGATTCTTAGACGCACGTCAGTATTACAGTTCTCATTTATTACATAAATTCAATCCAACCATGTGTTTTACGTGATGGTTTTGAAAGCTGGTCTTTGTGCCTTTTTCAATAAATGTAGGCCAGCGGCTATATGTTTTCTATATGAACCAAAAGAAATTTTCTGGGAAGTTAGGTAAACAGCATGAGGATAAGAGTATGTAATATAGTGAACAGATGGTATTTTTGCTGAAAATTTTATTTATCAGTTCCTATGTATTCTGTCAGACATTCTACTCTGAGAATTCTAAAAAGTATAAAAATAAAGCTTCCCTCCATTCAACCAGGCAGAGTAGTTGTTGAAAAAGGCCTACACGTGAAACTTCCCATGTACCTTAATTAAAATCATTTTCATGAATACTTCATCCTCATATGTAATTATTTCCTGATAGGAGAATGCAACATCTGATTTTGCATAGTATTTGTGAGCTATGGAGACGTTTAAAACGAAGCTATATTCAAAAGCTTGCCTCTCATAAACTTTTTTTTCTTTCTCTAGTTATCCATTCTCTCTTTCTGCATTTCCTCAGGCACGGGTGGAACAGCCTTTGAGAGGTTAATGCTCTGGCACAGTTATGTTCCAGACTCATAGGAGCTTAAGATCTTTGGAGCTGCTCAGAGACATCTATCTGTTTCTGCCTTAGCTGCCCTCAAATATATTAGCTGCTTTGCAAATCAGAATGTTACTAAAAGTCAGACAGTTTACAGGCAGTTATTACCTAATCTGCTATTAAGCAAGTTTTATGCTACAATCTCTGGAATTTTCTCCCTCTTGACATAGAACCTCTTTATAGTTTAAAATTCCCAAAGCAAAAGGTTAAATATTAGTCTACTTGGTTGATTCACCTCCATAGAAGACCTGCCAATAAGCACTACTTTCTTATTCTTGCAAATCGTATTTTCCTGGTCATATTTAAGAATGAATAAAGCAGTTAGTACTTTTAGCTTTTAAAGGGAACTGCCTAATCCAGGTGCCTGAGTGGTGTGTCCACAGGATGCTGAAAACCAAGAGGCTGCCCAGGGATTCAGATGTGACTTCCTGTCTGATCTGAACCCATTTACCCTGCAAGACATAAGTACTACACGCAGGTATTGAGATGTTTCAGCTTCATGTTTCCAGGCTAACATGATAAAAGAATTAGGGAGAGAAAATTTATTGTGGGGTAGTTGGGGTGTGGGACTATAATAGGAAATGGTTAGATAACTAGGAAAAAAAAGAAAAGATAATCCTCTAGGCAAAATCGAACGTGGGTATGACCGCCTCTGGAATTCTTAACTGCTAAAAAACCATAGCAGGGAATATTAAAACTTGTTTCATTCCTTCCTCTATACTGCCAGTCCTTTTCCCACTCGCTCTTTCCTGTTTGATTTCTGCACGTATCATGACTTCAGACTTTCCTTGCACAGTCCTGCGGTCAGCACAGAGGAATATGTTAAAACCGATATGAAAACGTCATACTGTATCCCCCAGGTGCCGAGCACTCTTGTTTCGGTGCTCTGTAGCTGTGCCGGTAGGCACATGTGCATCAGTCCAGTAGAACTCTCTCAGGGAAGGTCTTCCATCTCAGTCTCCTTTTGGCTATTCGCGACAGTTGCCGGAGTTAGAATTCACGTGGTTGATCTTTGGATGGAACATTCTTTTTCTCGTGTATGTTGCAATGGAAAAATGGCAAATGGATTTCCTTACAGTTAGGAGGAAGGGTAATGAGAATATGTTGTGTAAATACATTTGTATCTTGTGGGAATTTGCTCCGAGCCAAGAAAATATGGGCCTCTACGGTATATAGTTTTTCTTTTTTTTTTTTTGCATATATTTTCTGCATCTTGTTTGCATATGCATTTTCCTCTTCTTGGGTTATTTATCTGTACATCCAGATCTACTATATGAAATTTTATAGAGTATGGCGCTGTCTGACAGCAGAGCTTTTTTTGTTTTACTGAGTGTTTTGTTGGTGCATATGGTCTGACACGGATGAGCAGCCACGGTGAGATTTTGGAGTCTATTAAACTGGCTCATTAAAAAGATCAATCTGTTTCTGTAATAACACTGGGAGCCATCAGTCACTAAAAGAGGGAAAAACTGACACCTGAGGAGAAAACACATTTTGGTAATTTGTTCATGACATGTCACGAACAAAAGAGCGCTCTATATTTTGTTTGCAACTTTAGGGGCTTAAATTGTGTTGACGATCGCTGAGTTAATGGACTAAACAGTCATCACGTGTTTCAGGGATGGGATTTGGCAAATTGAACTTCTCATTCTCAAATATGACTGTCACTGATCATGTTTTTTCTGTTTGCAACATTATTGTTATTTACAGAGCAATGAATACTCTAGGGAAGTGTATGAAATCATTTCTTTTTCCTGTATGGAACATTGAATTGTTTCCTACTTTAAGAAGAGCTCCAGGGAGAGTACCTGAACAAGTGTACTGAATTTTGTAGGTCTGCGGTGGAATATGATAGAACCTGAATTAGAAAGAAGATAGTTTTCATTTTAAAACTGTGCTATTGCCCCCCCCCCAAATATGAGAGAACACAACAGAAAATTCTGATTTCATTATTAAGATATACCAGTTTGTTATCTGTAGTAGACCTTGATTCTTTTGCCATTCCATGATGGGAGATGCCGAAGAAGGCAAGAGGAGCCATTTGTGGAGCCAATTAAATGGAGTGAACATTTTCACACACAAAAATCTAAGTTAGAGCACCCTTGCCACCTGCTCACCACGAGGGCTCATGAAGACACAAACACTTTCACATGGAGTGAAAGGGGCGAGAACAGTTATATAAAGCCTCATTTCTCTGGGACTGCAGAAGGGATTAGAAAGAACTGTGTTAGGTTAATTACAGTGCTCTTTTTCTTTTCTCATGGCTTTGATATCATAGCTTTTTGATATAATTTGCCTTTAATATTGTGTTCTCACCTGTTATGTTACTCTGCTGACTCAGAGGATTTTTCTTGTTTAAGAAACAAAACCAAACTGATTTTTAGTTTTGTATAGGTAACACTGTATTTTTCTTTTTTTTTCTTTTCTACACTCTTAAATGATTGATGTTAAGTATTAATCCCCTTCTTATATAGTCATCATTTTAATGTAATTATGCTTTACATTACTCTCAATTTAATAGGTCGAGACTGTTGTTGTTTATTTTGAGACAGGGTCTTGCTCTGCTGCCCAGGCTGGAGTGCAGCGGCCTCATGATAGCTGACTATAGCCTCATACTCTTGGGTTCAAGCAGTGTTCCTACCTCAGCCACCATGTGACTTTTATCAGAAAAGCTATATAGTTGGATTAATTGATTTTTCTCCTCCTCCTTCAATAATTAAACATTTAAAAAAAAATACTTGCTTGAAAATTAGGATTATATAATATGTCAGCTGGAAGGGAGCTTAAGAGTACAGCAGGCCCCTTCTCTTTGGTACTTAAGTGAACTAAGGCCCAAAGAACTTGTTTAGAGTTGCAAAGCTTTTGAATCTTCCAGGTACAAAAATGTGTTTTAATATGCATAATTTAAATAAGAAAAGAGCAACTGAGAATTGAGTTGAGGTTTTCCCCCCTTACTGTCCTTTCTTTCTTTCTTTTGTATACTTGCTTAAGCAGGTAAATGCCATAATATAACATTCTGAGGTTTCATATACCTTTCTAATGATAGATGATCCATAGTCAGCCAGGTTTCCTGGCTTACTAAGTTAGAAAATGCTGAAGGTTGGAGGGTCAGAAGCAGTCCTTTTGAAACCCTATGGATGTATTTATGAGATTTGTCATCACAGCACGCACCAACCAATCCGAGTAGGTTAATTTTTCTTTTTCTGTAAAATGAATGGGATTTCACTATTTTTGTCTTTCTAAAAGAAAAGGTAAGTACACATTACAAGGAATTGTAGAGTAAAAGGACTATGAAAATAAGAATTAAATTTGTACAATCTACTGCATTCAGTAGTCTGTGGGAAAAAGCAGGGACTTTGTATTCCTACATTCTTATTGTGCATTGCCTCTTTTATGCATTCCTCAGTTGCAAGAAGTGAGTAATCATCTCTGTAGAAAGGATTTTGTAAACATTAGTCACATCAGTTGTGAAGACTTCTAGTGAAATAGCATAAAATTACGTTTATCTGTTGAAGAAAGAGCGGGGTCATAGAGGGCGTTTTGGTCTCTCCACATTCCAGCCTCAACCTTAGCTTGTTAGTCTGATGTCTTGCTGCTGCCTTAGTGTCTAACTCTACCAAATACTCTTCATGCTAAAGGCTGTGTTTGTTCCCACTGATGGTTTCTGCTGTCTTTCCTAGTTTAGGGAACTGTAGTAAAGGGCTGCAGCATTAGGAAGATTTGAGAACTATTGTCTTAAAGGTTTAAGCCTCTTGAACTCCTATGGCCACCAAATAGCAGAGCCCAAATTTGGGTCCAATTCCACGTGACTCCAAGCTCCTGTTCTTTGGAGTATATATTCTAGAATAATCTTCTCTCCCTTTGAATTCCTCTACCACTTTTGTATTACTTTTGTGATATATTCCATATAGAGATCCTGCATGAAAGTGTAGAAGTCTTATTGCTGTACTTAAATTATTTTTATGGTAAAGAATTTAATTTTCTTATGAAATCTCAATCGCATGGAGTGTTGGGGAGCACATCTCATTCATCTTTGTATTTCCACTGATGCTCAGGATGGTGTGTTACATATACTGGTACC